GGGGGGGGGGGGGGGGGGGGGGCAGTTCAAATGGAAAGACAACTGCAGGCAGAGAAGATGGGAGGCAGAAAGAGACAAGTGAGACAAAAGGGCACTCTGTGCAGAAGATGAGACACCGTGGGAAACAAAAGAAGCGACCTCAGGAGTTGTGAGTGGAATGGTGTGTGCGTGTGTGTGTTTTCGGAGGGGGGGGGGGGGGCTGAATCACAAGACCCCGCGGGAACTGACATGCTGGAGGTAGTGTTTGCATTCAGCATATGATTTCCATTACCAACACTTAACACATCAAGAGGACGACTAAAGCACACGGGTGTTTTTTGGCACGGGTTTTCAAAGACACCAACTCGGAAGTGGGCTGCTTTAAATTGGACTCTGAGCAAGCAGAGAGGAGCAGAGCTTGAAGCTGGACTGAGTAGAGGCAGATTATAACGCTAGAGCCCGTCAACCAAAGAGATCTGTTAGATGACGCTGGATATTCTGAGGTGAAGGAAGCCATTCTTTATTTATTATGCTTAATGGCCTGTAGATGGATGCAAATGGCATCCATACAGAGGGGGAAAAAAATAATAACTCACTTTAAAGTGAAGTGCTTCTTCCTCTCCCTAGAACGATAGGAAAAGACTAACCGTCGCTAACATCCTTGATTGTCATGTTGGAAACATCGGTCATTAAACTGAGTCAAACAAACTTGCAACAACTCAATCATCCTTTAGATACTCTGGCTTTTTATCCCATAATTCTGAAGTGAGCTCTTTAAATGGGTGAGGTTTATAACATAATTATGAACTTTCCTCAGCTAAATGACAGCTTGAACACACAATTACATAAGCCTATTCTATCCCCGCAGCCTTGGAAAAAGCATTCAAACTTACGTCAGTGAATTAAGAGAAAAAAAAGAAAAACATGAGAAATGTTCATTTTCTTGTACAGACAAATCTGGAAAGTAAATGCAGAAGCCATACCTAGTTTAACGGATACACCCAACCCAATCACCTCCAGTTAAACGCGCTGCTGTGATCTAAGAAGCGTCTATAATTTACCAAATGACGTATCGGTTAGTATTTCTTCTCAAAGGGTGCCACTCCCCCCCCCACCCTCGATGCCAAAGCCTGAATCACCGCCAAAACGATGTCGCCATTATCAGGAATCAGAGGGAGCATTGCTTCTGCAGCCCGATAGCACTTTATCTGGTGGAAGACAGCAACCACCATGACAAGTGAGGAGTCTAATCTCCGAGAAGGGGAAGAACACTGCAGGACATTTCCCTCGGACGTGGCTTCCCATCACACGCGAGGCGGCTGCTGACTGACTGCGGCTGAGCCGGCGGCCCGCTTTAAAGACAACAATAACGCCGCCTTGGATGAGCTGATGAGACGCCGGGCTTCCTCTGTGGTCACCTAAAGCCTTTCAAACATCACCACTTTGGGTTGTCACAAAACACCAAGCGATCGCTCAGCAAAAAAACCAGCTCCGATAAGGCAAGAAGGGAAACCACAGGAGCCCGGGCCCAGCTTCTGCAGGGGCAGAATCTCGAATGTCAGTTCTCAAAAACCTGCACAGACCCAACTTTTTTTTTCCCCTACAAGATCAGGAACAGCAGAGCAACGGTATGAGTCATAAAGGGCTAAGAGAGCAGGGCTGAGGGCTCAGCCATTACAGCAGATAGACATAGAAACTGCCATCAGTGCTCCGAGAGTCACTTCCTAATTTGAGCGGCTTTCCCATACGTTGCTCAGACTGTAATCCCAGGGTAAGGCCTCCATTATATCGGGATTTGGCAGCTTTGTGTCTGACTGACAATTAGAGCTAATACTAATCCGTTTTATAGCACTTGGACAGCGGGTGGAAACAACACCATTTGATCTGATTACTTTAATATAAACAGGCTACCAAATTAAGCCCTAAATGAACTACTTGTAAGACAATGGCCTTTTTTTTTCTTCTTAAATTCTCAGACACTACAAAAACGTAATTCTAGGCTAACAGAGACAAAACTAAACGGACAACAGATCAGGTGTAAAGCTGAATTGTTAGACATCCTACGTTCCAGTGTCCTGCCCACACAGTCCCAGGATCGAGACACTCTCAGTAATAAAAGCATCTGCTGAGCATCTGAGATGGCCACACCGAAAACCAGGATCTTTGTGGTCAGCGTAGGATTGTTGTTGCTTCTCATCACTGCAATGCCTGTCATAGTTCAGTAAAACCTTGGCTGTCTTCCTATGAGGACACATTTCCTGGGAGGACTAGAAAAGCAAGCGGATATACTTGAAGAGCATGTCAAAGACAGACTTTTTTTAATCCCTCCAACAGCTCTTCTCCATGAAAATGCAAGGTTTCGAAATCTGAGACTCTCCTCTCGGTGATGTCGTTACACAGGTCCCACAAAGGGCAGGTGGTGCCGTGCACTGTCAGGGCTGACTGACTGAAAGGAAATTTATTAAGCTCATTGCAGGGTGCTGGCCAGCTCGCAGCTGTCCCCGCGTTCACAGAAATTAAAGTAAGTCAAAGAGGAGGCATCACTCTAGAGTTTAAGCCGTGAGTGAATAGTCAAAATTGAGCATGGCTGGAAGGCTTCAATAGTAGTGATCAGGCTCTGTTGAGGGCCTGGGGTACAGCCAAGGTCTCCCAGGCATGCAGCTGCCCACTTACCATAAACACAAAGGCTCAGCATGGCTATGCATGGCAGCCAGGGAGGCCTGCGTTTTAAGGCAAGCCTGCTGTTTAATTATCTCATACATAATCGCCTGCACTGTATACATTTGTCTAGAACAAGAGCTTTGTTGGGCTCTCTAATCAAGGCTTTCAGCAAACCTGTCCAAGTTGGAGAGAAATGTTGTCCACTTGAATGCTAAATCTAACAAAGTCTCTTAATTACACAGGGCTGAGGACACAACCGGCGCAGAAGAATAGCACCGCATGCTAATGGGGCAAAAATATGAATAGGTCAGATGGAGTGGAAGTGGCTCCATTTCAATCAAACCTTCAAGAAAACGCAGACAAGTGTACTTCTGAGTTATACATGCAGAAATCTATCCATCCTTCACACATCATTACCCCGAAGGCACACAAAAAAACACAAAAAAGCAATTACTGTTTTTTTTTTTTTACAGGTAAAGTGAACAATGTTGCGAAAGGGGCATTATAATACACAGGAACTTCACTTTAAATCGAAATGTTTTCAGTGGCACGGAATGGGAAAGGGGAATTATCTGCACGCCTATCAGTGTGTGCAGATAATAGGCACTCTCTCCTGCACTCGAGCAAAAACGTTCAACAGTTTTTCATATGGGCCTGCCAGCCCTCCAGGTGGATGCCTCTCAGTTTCAGGAGAAAGGGGCCTGAAAACTGAGCTTGTCCAAGTAACCAGCACAAACAGTCCCTTAAACCCCTTTTCCAAAATCCCTCATGAAAGGGAAATGAGTTTGGCAACGGAGCTGCTGGTGTGACGGGAGTTCACAGTATGTTACACACGCAGACCACAGAGCAAACAGGATTCTGAACTTGACAGAGAGAGAGGAACAAACTACAAATCATGAACTATTAACTTTACATTCAGCAAAGCTGAGATGATAAATCTGCCATTCACCATAACTTCTCACAATTTGACCATGTGACTGTTCATACCACATGAATACTTTAAGGGACAACATCCTGGACATGGGACACTCTGATACATTTGGGTTTAACAATTACTTAAATTCATGATCCCAGTTTGCACTTAAAAACGGTTGAATCTGAAGGACTGTTTGCCAGCCATCCTCCCCCTTCATACCAAAGGGGAGATTGGATTGATAAACATAATACATCGACATTCCACTGTAATTACTATGGCATAAGCATGTCATTGCCACAAAAATAATGTAGACATTAAAACCTATTCAAACTTCTTATGCATTTTCCATTAAACATCAGGCCTTGCATGAGATTGCACCAGAGGGAAATTTGTTCCTTTCAGTCTCTGTTGATTCAAAGGATAATGCATTGGATGCAAAACTTAGTATTAAACTAGAGATTATTGACATTTAATGTGCTGTTATGGTCAACTCCCAAACAAGCCCAATCCACTTTCATGACTGGAATAAACTCATTACATTAAGCATAATTATAACTTCTTTCAAATATTTGACCATAATTTGCGTCATGCCATCGTAATTTCCATAAATACTCGGTGTCACATGAAGGAGAAGAAGGCAAAATTCAGATCGAGGACTGTTTGAGGGGGTATTAACCCAGTCAAAACAACAAGAACTCAGCTAAGGCACTTCACGGGAAAAGTTGCTAAGCTAACTAACTAAAGCCTCATCGAGAGACATTTTCGCCAGTTGTCACTTGGAATCGGGTTTATCTTCGTGAAAATCACCCTTAATGCAGATCACTCACTTTAAAACAAAGAAAAACAAAAAAGTCATTGCTATTCCCAAGATGACAACAGATGCTGCTGTAAGTAAGCTAAATAAGAAACTTAGTATTTTGACCAAAAACTTCCACTCACAGATATCACGTCGCGCAACATGAACTTCGAGAACGACAGGCATCTGGTTAGTTTCGGCTGGCCATGCTGAGTTTTGTTTTAGCTGGAAGATAACACAAAGCAGGAAGCAAAAGAGTCTCCTCACTTCCAGCCCTCTTGCAAACTACAACATTGCCCCAGTGCACTACTGTCCGACAAGACAACATGCTAATGAGGCTGTGACAACATAAACGAGCAATACCACATTAAACAGGGGACACGGTTGTCCGGTGTGTCATGAAAACACTCAAACCGTCTTTTAACGATACTATCTAGGTTAATTTATCTTGTCTCATCGATAAATACAGTTTTTTTGAGCAATGGAATAGAAGAAGGGACGATAAAAAGGTTTAAGAGTTTTTGGTAAAGACAACTACCCCTACGCGCATAACTAGTGGAATAATCCACCCCGAGGTAATGAAAAGTAATCACAGTTTTGAGCTGTGCATTTAGACTAGGGACTTTCATGAGTTACAGTGTTGTTGTATGATATCATATGAAATGCATGTGACATTGAGGCTTACCGAAAGAATGTAATAGCCGTGTGTTATGTAGACATATTTCCTAATAAACTTAACTCCTGCCTGGCCCAAGCTTCACTTACAAAAACTTAAGTGTTTATCATGATTTTCAGCAGCATTCCACACACCATTCTTTCAATTTACAGGTTTAGTGGTTAATAAATAAATACAGAAAACAGTGCCTAACAATGACACTGCAGGTTGACCGTCAACATTGAGCACTTCTGTTCTCAGTGGACCACAGGCTTTTTACCATCCCCATCTTTGACCACATCTTGCTCTCAACTACCACCCAAAAGAGGAAGTCACTCAGTGCAGCCTGTTTATTCAGTAATAATTTTGTTTGCATAGCTTTTGAATGTTTATACATTGTCAGTTTATTGTGGGCTTGTGAAGAAAAGCTCGTACAACAATCATTGGACATAGTTCAATGGGAAAGAAACTACATTTTATAGTTAAATTAAAAATAAACTTAATTTTATTTACATCCACTGGACCGTGCAATACAAAAACTCTTATGTCCGACAACATCATAAACTGCTAGTTAACATAATTTGTGAAGACATAAGTTGGCACTCTGGGCCTCACAAGGGTGGGGAGCTTGAGGCTCACCCCTGGCAGACACCATTGTTAATCAAGGAGTAACATCTGCTGTGTTAATCTGCTGCAGACTGTCTTCCACAGTTTTAGACTGTCTGCCTGCAGTATTTGAGGGCACCCAGGATTTGTCTCCATTGTGGTGTAGCTTACAAAATATTTTTATTTTATTTTAAGTACAACCAGCAGTGGGAATGGACTGATTCTTATTGAAGCGATGACAATATTAATCAAAATAAAATGTTCAAAATATAGTTTGTACTGTTGTACAATGGGTGGGAATTTTACAGGCTCAACAAGTTTAGCAGTATGTGTTGTGACTGTGAAGGCCATAGGGGGCAGTATCCACCAATCATATTGCAATCATGCAATGATATTGCAAAACACTATATGGGTAACCTAAAATGTGATAGATCATAGATGTATGATGCATATATGTTTATGTGTTTTACTTTGATCTGGATTTTTTAAGCATTGATTTTGTTACTGTAACTGTGGCATGAATGTAGTTGACAGTAAATATGAAGTGATCTTTCAGAAACCCCTTACAGAATGCTGTTAGCCATCTGTGTGTGGTTCACACTGGCTGGAGACAGATGGCTGAAAGACTCTTGTTACAGAACCCATCCCTTCTCAACTTTAATGAAGGGCTAATCCTCTCAGCTACTTCAGTTTTTTTATTTCATATGCAGACACTTCTTTTGATTGATGCAAGGGAAACATTCAACCTTGATTCACCGGCAGAACAAATCAGTGAATGAGAAAAGACCAATTTATCAGTCTTTTAGATGCCATTTGAGTTTATTTTTTAAGCTATCTATGAGAACCTCCTTTAAACACATAACAAGCTGGTTGCACACTCACAGTGGCTAATGGAGTGGCTGATTAAAGGAAAAACACTGACACCATTTGTCAAAATGCAGAAGTACATGCAACTATTGTCCCAGTGCTTGTTGGTGAAATGATTGTATGGTGTTATTCAATGGTATAGTGTAACTACAGTGCATAAAAAGAGCATATGGTTTTCATGGAACGGCCATCTAAATTTCATTGCCTCTCATCTATCCCACTAATCCTCGCCTACAATGTTTATAGCCAAGTTAATTGAACTGGCACATCTCTGTGGGTTTGAAGATCCCCTCTGAGAGGCTTTAGAGCCAAGTCTGTGCCAAAGGGTGCACATCGCTAAAACCTCCTCAGCATCTGAAAGAGCAACAGCTGCTCGTCCAGTAACGGTTCGAGGGTGACTGTGTGGCTGACTTATCTGCAGCTTGGTGTCAACGTTTCTTATGATAACATGACGGAGTATGAATCCTCACAACTGATGCAAAATCGTGTCTGTGAGTGGGTGCCACATTCAAAACCCAAAAGTAGAAAATTGATTTTTATCTAAAGCATTTTTGTAAAAATCCATCAAATATAGCTAAATGCATAATTAATAATTATATTGACATGATTTGTTTTAATTTTGGCCCATGCTGTTCTCACATCATATCAACATATTTTCCAAATGTTATATAACTTTAATCTATAATTAATTTGTAACTAACCAATTATGCGAAATGAATGAACTCTTGCATAACTCCCCTGAATCAGGGGCTGTATGAATATGTGGCTGACTAGAAAATCATATCCTTAGAGAAAGCCTGCCTTAATTTGTGTCTTAATCAAATGCTAAATTGTTTCAGTGAAGAGAAGCGAATGTTTGTAACTAACATGAAATTCACAATAAATATTAAAGTTCTGTCCAAATGCATTTATTTCCAAAGGGTGGAAAGCAGTTAAAAATGTGTGTATGCCAAGTTTCTCTTTCACCAAATAGATTAGGACTACTTTCACTCATTTACTGTTTTCTTAATCTTTATTTCACCAATTCATCCCAGAAGAGTTTACCCTACACCTGCAGCTCTTATTCACATCTTTAGAATTTTCATTGGTTACATGCAAAAATACAATAAAAATAAAACATAAAGGGGAAATAAAGGCAATATTGTTTGCAATATGCGTCTTTAAACAACCTGAGAAAACGTTCCCTTACACTGTAACAGAAAATGATTCAAAGAGTGAATGTGTTCCTCATGGTCTGCTGGGAGAAACAGATTTATTAAGGAACAGTTGCTTCGGAGTGCTTCGGTTTGCTTTGATACAGTGGGAACAAAGACACTCTTTAACAGCGATAGCGAGCGAATTATTGTTGTAACATTTCAAGGATTCTGTGCAACATCTGTTCTGTATTACTTCATGTTTGTCATGCTTCAGCAGATACGTTTATACAACATAAGATTGTGTGCCTGTCGTGCAACAAGTACGTTCGGGTTCATTTTGATATCTCTGGGCAAAATAAGTGCTATAACATTTTCATATAAAACATGTCTGGTTTAAATTACACTTAAGATGGAAATAAAACCTAGTTCTGTGCAGTTTGTATGGTTTTGGGGGATCCTTCTCCTTCAGAATCCCCTTTCTCATTCTCCATGTACGCCTGCACCGACCTCCAAAGAGCCCTGATGTTCCCCTCACCAAAACCCATCGCCCCTCTTCGCTCTATTAGCTCAAGGAAGAAGGTGTCTTCAGCAAATATTGGCTTGGTGAACACCTGGAGAAGGTATCTGAAACAAAACAGGATAGCTAGTCAGTCATAAGGACAGTCTTTTATCATTAAGAATAACTTGTCATGTGATACTGTCTTCAGAGGCAAAATGCATCATGGGGGTTTCTCCACATAAATACACTTAAGTGGGTCCTCATTTGCTGTTTAGGACATTTCTTTTTTCGTTTGTGTGTGAGCAGAATGTTTTGTGCGTGTCATTCCAACTTTATTTCATACGTTGCAGTTCAAGTCAGTGTAAGATTGCTGCTTTGCAGGCTTAATCTCTTCCAAATGGCAAAAAACATACATCTCACCTTCTGTTTTCACTGGATACTCTCATCAGTGAGGGATCCTGCTGCAGGTCTGTATCCAAGAGAATACCATTCTGTGCCAGCATCTGGGGGTTGTGTCCTGCTTCCTCTATTTCCTGCTGTTTCCCCACCTGTCACAGTGCACAGGCAGAGCAAAAACAATTACTAAACTTGATGGTTTGCAAAATTGCCCCTGGTCAGAATCACCGACACCCCTGAATTGTTAGCAGAAAATTAGGGGCATGTTCTGACATAGTGCAAGTTGATCAGTTTAGTTGATTTAGAGAATAAATAAAATGCAACCTGTTTAATAAGAAAAGACATCATGCTTTTGGGCTCTGCTGCTAGAGGCATTTATTGTGTCAGGTGATAAAATCAAAAGATTACTGAGGCATTATTTTATTGAAACAAGTTGCCCAGTGAGAGAAAAATAAGTTTATAGGCAAATGGCATGGATCTTTTTAGCATAGCGTATGGCCTGAAGCTTACAACCTACAGGTGGTGAGTGAGCTAGTGGCTAAGAGAGAGGTTTCAAGGTTATGACTTTTCCCAAAGATTAGGCAAACATATTATCATGGTTGGTGTGTTTGTTTGCTTTGCCGAACTATTGAATAAAGTCAGGAACCTATTTGCAATAGGAATTTTATAGTGACTGATTAAGAAGTTGAGTCCTAATGGTGTTATAATCACAGTTTTTTTCATTTAGCCTTGATGGTGGCATGCCGTCTGCTGTTGCTACAGTTTAGACACAAAGCAGTCCCTGTCCTCTGGGCATGGTGATGTCACAACCTCTAAACGACTGACTGTGAAGCAGGGTGTTAGCAGAGTTACACTGAGAAGCAGCTAATTCAAAACTCAGGTCAGCTCCCACTCTATTTAATGCCATGAAAATCTTACTGCATTGATGAATTCCTTTAACTTGTTGGACAATAAAAGAAAATGCTTGACAAGAAAGAAAGGAGCTATGTAATTCTGATGAAGTCAAACCTCCGTGTAGTAGGCAGGAGGAGGGGTGAAAAAGTGCACACCCGCGTCGGCCATTGTCTGTGCAGTAGAAACTATGTTTTTGGTGTACAGTGCAATGTGCTGGACCCCAGGTGCTCTGTGCTGCTCCAAAAAGGTGTCCACCTGGTTGGGGCCTGAAGAAAAGGAAGAATGATGCACGGAAAAAGTTGCGGTATGATAATGAAATTAAGGAAATGAAATGTTTTGAAGGACGAGGAGGCCGGGGTTACCTTGGTGAGGTAGTGATTCTGCAATGACAAACTTGCAATCAGGCTCTTTCTTGTCAGCGAAGGGAAGGGTGATTCCAACCTCGCTGCATTTCCAGTACTTCATGGCAGTGAGTCGCAGTCCAACACCCTCATGGTTTACTACAAACCCTTCATCCACATCTTCATTACTACACAAAAGAATTAAAAAAATGAACACATCTTGTTGAAAACGAAGGAAAAGAGACATCAATAATATCCTCATAAACTCGAAATATTATTTAGGGAAAAAGCATTTTACTCATTTAAATTTGGATTATTTGAAGACAAAATTCATCCTCCTCTCTTTCCTCAAAAAGATTTTGATTACTGTCATATAGATTATCCGTGTGTTTCAGTTCCATCAAGAGGTCATTTTCTATCGCCATTGAATCTAACCCTGAAAGTCGAGCCTGCCCTGTCGTATTTCGAACCGAATCAGTTTGTTTCCTGACTATCCAATCAGCTGGTGTGAATACAGCGACGTTGCCTTACGCCTGCTAGAGGGCCCTGGTGTCACCAACTTAAAATCTGATTGGTTAAAGCAACAGTTTAATCAACATTTACTTTCTGTTACAGGGCCCGCAGAACGGATTGTGAAGGCCTCCAGGCAGATATCTTTAACCCTGCCTAGCAACAAATGATGACTGAAATGTGATTGGTTAAATGCTTTAATATGAAAACACATGTCTGGAAGCAGCACAACCAGGGGAAAATCTATGAAAGGAAGCGGACAGACCATTTAGAGATATTTAATAAGTATTCATGGACAAAATATAATTAACATCAGTCTGTGATTCAGATATTTTTTTAGGCCAGCAGAGAAGGCCTTACAGGCCCTGACAGCCCATCACTGATATGAGCATAATATCTCTTAGGGAATCACATTATTGATGCAAAAACAGTATTTTTCCTCTTTCATTAGTTGTGGTTTTGTGGCTTTTGATTAGATGCCTCTTGATTAGATGCCTCTAAAGTATGAGCCAATCATGCACATAACACTGGTCCATCCCTTGATTTAGGCCTTTTTATGCTGTAATGTTGTTCAATTTTAATGAATCCAGTGAAAAGTATACAATGTCAAGAAAAAAACGTTGGTAAAAAACTTTGGTAAACTTAGAGAGCTATTGATGAAGCTCACTTTAACATAACACTATCTCGGTGGAATGAAGTTGCAAAGGTGCACAATAATGTCTTTGTAAGTACGAACATAGTCTCACCTGTCAATGAAAAACCTCTGGAAACCAAACAGCTTCTCATACCACCTCATCACCTCCTGTGTCGACTTCCTGGGACAGGCATAAGTAATGTGATCGAAATGCGTAACGGGGCAAGACGGGTCCTCTTTTTCCAGGCTCCAGCCCTGCTCCGTCACATCGAACCCCGGGAGAAAGACCCCCCCGTATTTGGTCTTGTCGACCAACGTGTGGCACACGTTTCCCACAGCCGATTTCACCACGGAGTAGGTGACACGACCGCTCTGGTCCTCGACAGTCGTGGGGGGCACCAGGAAACTGCAGCCCAGCCGCCGGAGATCCTTGAACGACCTTTCCACATCCTCCACCTCGAAACACACATTGCTGACCGAGTCCACCGGATGATGCGGGCTGACGTCGTAAAGGCAGGCCGAGGGATGACCGCGGCCGGGTTGTCTGACCTCGACCCGTTGGGGATCCACGCCAAGCAGCCATTCATTCAATCCCACGCTCTCCTGAGTTGGCCCCTCATTCAGAACGAAAACCGCCGCTCCCTTCCGAAAAGCCACCTGCCTGGATTTATCTGTAACCCTAGTGGCAAACAGATTAAATTTGTACTTTGAGACCAGATCGTAAGCTAGTTTCTGTCCATTCGAAACATGGATCGAGACGTGGTGTAACCGGCGCAAAGGGACTGCCATGTTCCTTTTTTGAAGAGACGCTCTGACAGGAGGTGTGTCCAAAAAACAAACTACCCGGTTTCATCTGCCTGCGTTTTAAATGGCCAGGGATGTGCAGTTGGAGGTCCGTGCGTGGATTAAACATTTTGCTAAGATTTTTCAAATTTTGCTGCACGTAATAATGTTTTTGTACCACACATTTTAAATGCACTACATTTGCTCTCTGCACCACAATATTAAAGTAACAAACTTTAAAATATTTAAATATCCGTTCAGTGTTTAAGATGAAACTTGGATTTGTCTCGAATATTTTCAGTTACAATGCCTACATTCTCATATTTCCTTTTCACCATGATGAATTTGAACATTTTCAACCCTTAGTACATAAATAAACTTCTAGGTTCATACATAAAAAAACTGTACTAGTGGAGTAACACGGTTTAGGGAATGTTTCGCTACAAATATAAAATCTCGTGGTTTTCTGGAATATCAGTAGAGCTGCACAGTCCAGGAATTTTCCGTTAGTCAGTGAAGGCACCACGGGGCCGTCCCTTCATCCAATCGCGTTGAGAGCAGAGCCAGATGATTGGTGACGAAGGCAGGCTAGCGTTTATTTTGGCTTTGCTTCTCATTTGTCTAGCTGACGCCGCCATTAAACCAGACGGAGGCAACACAAACCATGGAGAGTCACGGATTGATACCATGATTGGAGGAGTTCAGAGGCCTTGTCAATGCGTGCTTTGGTCTGCAACAGGTTGACGTGTGCTTGAAGGAAAACATGTGAGAGACTGAGGGAATCGTGACTATTGGGATTGGGAAAGGTTTGACTGAGCAGGAGGAAGGAGGTGGGGGGCGGGGGGACTGGACAAGAAAGGTTTGTTGTGGTTTTCAGCAGCAGTTGAAAGACGGACGAAGTCGCGAAACGGTAAGAGTTTGCATATTTTGCTGCAAATTTCTACAGTAAGGCTATTTCTTTTGTTGTTTCGCCCTGCTAGGTACTTGTTGGCAGCGTAGTTTCACGTTAGCTTACGTTTTGTAACGCTACGAGGTTAGCTTGCCAGCTAGCGAGCTTAGGGTCGGCTAAAGACTGAGATATCTCCACACTGCTGTCACTGGTCATGTGAATTAAATCAAGTCTATTATCCACGCGCACAACTGTCACTAATAAATATCTTTTGGAGCACAATTTCATTTGCATTTAAATCTTAAACTGACTATTTTTTGCCAGTGAAGATAACCGATTAATGCAGGGGGGTTCATAAACTATCAGGGAAACTACTCGCTTACTTCAGAATATAAAGTTATTTTTAGGTTGTCCTTTTTTATGTTTAACAAGTCATTTTTTTATGTGTCACGTCTCAGTTCCTCACATCCGAACAGAGTGACCCACAATGACAGAACAGAGGGTGAAGTGGGCCTGTGACTACTGCACTTTTGAGAACTGGCTCTCTGCAATCAAGTGTACAATGTGCCGAGCACCGAGGCAGAGGGGCCCCATTATCACGGAGGAACCTTACAAAAACCGTCCTGATCTGGATCCCAACGTGGAATGGGATCCGCCTAGAACTGAGAGCGGAAGCAGCCTCCTCATTTGCCCTGACTCCAGTGCGAGACCCAGAGTCAGACCTTCCAGCATGGCGGAGATAGCCAGTAAGTGGTCTTGCCAGATGTGCACCTACCTGAACTGGCCTCGAGCGATTCGTTGCACGCAGTGCCTGTGTCAGCGCCCAAAGGCCGGCAGTCCCACGGAATCCCCCCAGACATCGGGCTCCAACGCAGGCTGCCGACCTGCCGTCCACTCTCCGGTGGACACCTGTGAGGAGTATAACGACAGGAACAGACTCAACACCCACCAGCAGTATTGGACGTGTGCAGCTTGCACTTACCAGAACTGGCCCAGAACCACAAAGTGTGTGGTGTGCAACCTCCCCAAGCCCAATAACCAGGAAGCCATAGATTCGCCAGAGTGTGCAGAACCCTCGCCCCTGATCAATGAACAGGACATGGCGCGATGGAGGGGCAACGGCAGCGGAAGCCAGGGCCAGAGGAGATCCCCTCCCATGGCCAAGAGAGACGACCGGGTCAAAATGGATTTCCAGAGGATAGAACTGGCAGCTGGAGCCATGAGTAGAGAGGAGCAGGAGGTTGACTTCAAGAAGCTGAAGCAGATTAGAAACCGGATGAAGAAAACCGACTGGCTGTTTCTCAGTGCTTGTGCAGGTGAGTTTTTGTGTGTTTTTTCCCCTCGTGCTGAGGCCATAACGGTCAAGAGCTGATTTTTGGTTAACATTTTTTTAGAACTGTTAAGGTGGATATTTGTAGATATATGACCACAAGACCATTCCAATTTTTTAAGGATCCATTTAACATTTTTAATGACAGATCTCAAACAACAGCATTTTATATAATTTAAACCCCAAATATTAGATTATGAAAATAACTTAATATGAACTGCAAGTAGAAATGATGCTATGTAGCAAAAAACAAAACGGAAAGATGTGTAAATTAAAAAAGCTAATAGGAATCTGATCCAACCTATCACCAGAGCCATGTCCGCCCATTGATGTGCTACTGAGAGCATCTTTGGAAAAACTAAGAGGGTGTGATTGCTTCCCAGCTGGCGGGCATGAATGGGCCGTCTGGGCTGTGCAGAGTGGAGCTTGTGGACCGGGCTTTGCCCTGGCCCGCAGTCAACACACCCTGTAAACAGTAGTGCTTATGTGCTGAGCAGCAGCCTCCTGGAGGCAAAAATAGGCTTAACAAAACAGAAAAGAGGAGAAGCGGTCAAAAAAAACAAAAACGAAAAGGCAGCATGTGACGAGCCGTGCACTCCTGACCTTCATACTGATTGCACTTCCCAGGTTGCTGTTTGGAGTGAAAAACGGCTCCCGTGGATTGCATTAAAAAAAATGTTTTTCTACCTAAACCTGTCTCATTTTCAGCCATCGACGTCACCGCCTGTTACCATAAAAGTTTTGCTTGGCCCTTTACTTCACATCCCCTTACTGTTTTTTTTCTGGTGGTGTTTGTCGGTGGAGGAAGTGCCTGAGTCAAGCAGCACAGTTTGACCAAGACGCCAAGCACTTCCTCAGGTCTCAGAACAAGGTCTCACTTCGCTGTTGTTTCCCCACATGTTGCTGTAGAGCTCTGAACTTTAGCCAGATTTGTACAAACCCATTGATTCTACAGAAGGCACCAGCTTTTCCGTTCACACTCTCTGTTTTCACTCTGTTGCCTGCAACTTTAGCCACTGCAGCTTGTGTCACTCTTAAAAATGTTTATGTAATTGAATTGTTTGTCGCAATGGGTTTCTGTCTAATTTATTAAATAAAACGCTGGATCAGAATAAAGTCAGTGGTTCATAGCAACAAAATTGCATCAGTTTGCAGAAATTCTTGTTTGCGCTACCCTTAAGTCTTTTTTAACTTTAATATTGTTACATTAGCGACGCAAAAAGAGAGAGGAATTGAAACATGTTAACTATGCCCACTTGCTTTTATAATGACTGGAATTCTACACCTTTTTATCTATTTCCAATATTCTTTTTACAAGGAATGCGTCAATGTTGTTGCAGAACATCCAAACGAAAATAATTTGATACTTGCAAAATGATCCCACATATGTGCAAATTGAGAAGTGCCACTCTCAGTTCCACTTCTCTCAAGGTAGCATCCTCTTCCCTGCTAGAGAGAACATGCTCGTAAACGGGCGTCTCTTTAAACACGCCAGTGCTTCAGTGCTCTATATTCCACCTAGCCGTTGCACATTTCACTCATAACAGATGTGAAGGGCTACAAGGTCCAAAAAGGGGGGGAGGGGCACTCGCTTTAATCTGCACAGTCCGCTCCCTGTCTGACATATCTCTGATTGCTTTGCATTATAAGTCACACTGCTCTGTCTGTTCAGCTAAGTAGTAGCCCCACAGTGTGATAGCTGTTCTCACTGCGGATTAGCTAGCGACTACATCTAGAGGTCATCAGTTCTGCCCGTTGACGTCAAGACCTAGAAATCTGCGTCCTCTTTGCATTTGGCTCTGTTCTTCAGATGGAAGTGGTCTTGAAAAGTTAACCAAGGTCTAAATGCACATTGTTGGCAACCACAAACGGCACTCGCACCGGCATAGTAAGATGATATTACTTTCCTGGTCTCGTGGAAAAGAGACACGCTGTCTCTGTTACATTCATGTTCTATTATAAGCAGGGACACGGAGACATTGCTGCTGCAAAAGCCAATCACATGGCATCAGAGTCTATATCCCTCCTAAATGAATTACCCCGTGTCTTACTGATGCATTTGTATTTACTTTAAATAAGGGGATGTCAGATAACAGAAATCCAGCATGAAAAACTATGATGTGATTTAAAAAAAAAAAAGAAAGTTGAATTGCATTAAGCTCACACAGAGGTTGCCAAACGCTTCCAGTGAATTGTGCGCTCATGCTGTACTAATGCCGAACGTGGCACGTTCTGCCGTGCCTTCCTAAAGATGATAAACCTGTTACCCATGTCTTCTGCAGGAGTCGTGGAGGGAGACCTGGCAGCAGTGGAGGCCTACAAGTCGTCCGGCGGGGACATTGCTCGACAGCTCACCGCCGACGAGGTGCAGCTCCTCAACCGCTCCTCCGCCTTCGACGTGGGCTTCACCCTGGTGCATCTGGCCATTCGCTTCCAGAGGCAAGACATGCTAGCCATTCTGCTGACGGAGGTAAATGTGACTGTAGTTTCACCACGCCACTGGAATTAAAGCCATGTTCTTTTTGTATTGTTTCTCTTGATTACAATCATGAAAGCATATTTGAAATTGCTCAAAAATCTGAGTGAAAACTGTTGTGATATTCTTTTGTTCAGTCTGATCATTTTCCTAAAGATGAAGTTAAAAGGACTCTTGTCATTCTTTTGTTTTTATACCTGTTTTGTGCTCGTCATGCACATCAGGCTGTTGATTGTTGATGTCGTATAGCAGATGCCTATAATTGCAAAGCAAGTGCACTTTGAAGATTAGGAGGAGGATTAGCGTGGCCACAGTCACCGGATCCTAATGGACATGATGCTGCAGAGTTGATGTGGTTTACAAGGAGAGCCAGTAATGATTTGAGAGGGCGCTGAGGGCTGCAGGGGGAAAGGTGCTACTGAAAAGAGACAGTGTGACCTTTCTGCTGTTGGTTCATAGCAGTTCTAGATCCTCAGTACAACGGGTGTGTTATAAATGAATGAAAACGGCTACAGTAGGTTAGTTAAGCTTATGTTTTTGTAAATGTGCTCGATTCTTAATGAATGAAAAAACACATTTAATGATTGAACAGTGGAAACAAACTAAATGAATATTTAACTATTATTAATGTGTGTGTGTATACTGTTTCTTGTAAGGTGAACCAACAGGCAGCCAAGTGCATTCCCTCCATGGTCTGTCCGGAGCTGACGGAACAGATCCGAAGAGAGATCGCAGCTTCACTACATCAACGCAAAGGGGACTTCGCCTGTTACTTCCTCACTGACCTGGTCACCTTCACTCTGCCTGCAGGTGCTCCTGACATCCTGACGGTTACACTGATCACGCTGTTGGTCCCACTTTGATATGTGTAAACTGATTCAACACCTTAATAACACCCACATGAAGATGCTGCTATTGCTCTGTGGTGGGACACAAAAGGAAGCCTCTCTTTGGGATTGTATTCAAAATTATGTGGGGTTTTTAAAAAAAATGTTTTATTTCAAATTGGTGTGTGACATATTTCTATACTGAAGACCTGGAGCCCAGCCTTTGTTGTGGAGCGCTACTGAGAGAGACAGCAGCTCAGTGTGTCTCGTCCCTGTAGCAGAATGTCATCAGTCAAATGACTTTGCTTTTAAGAAGCAGCAGTATTCTAATTCTGTCCTGTCAGTGCTGCTGGGGTGAAGGATTCTGAAGGCTTTACTGACGGATCTGATTTATGTATTTGTTTTCCTCGTGAGTATGCAATTCCAAGTATTTTGCTGCAGACCGAGTTTGGCTGGAGGCCAGCTGCAGGGGTTGCTGTCTCTCCGTCTCTGTTGCTTTCCAATAAAGCCGACGCCATTCACGATTGAACCAGAGAAAGCACCAATGCTCTGGCGTTATGGCTGTCCGGTTCAGTGCACACAGGCACACTGCACAGAGCTCATGTTTCCAGTGTTCCATTGACAAAATGTCATGTAGTGAGTGGAATTACTAAGAACAGCCCCACTGTGGATCATTACTTGAGCGTTTGTGTTTTGCTCATCCTGCTATACGTTTATTACAAAGCATTAACAACGTGTCTCTCATGTGTTTCTCCAGACATTGAGGACTTGCCACCTGCTGTCCAGGAGAAGCTGTTAGATGAGGTGTTGGATCGAGATGTGCAGAAAGGTGCCCAAAAATGATTAATTTTCTTTTGAAAATGTGTGTGCTCAAACTTACAGGAGTATTATTTTTCACGCCCAGTTGTTTTTAGGTCATTTTTGTAAAGATGAGCTCATAATGTGGAAGAGAAAAAAAAGGTCTCTGTGTTTTCTCTTCATGTAGCTCACCACCGCCCACTTTATCATCCCTATTTTCTCTAATAAGGTTAATTGAGCTCATTCATTTCCCTACTACACACGTCCCAGTGCCATACTGCCTGTGAAGCTGTGTGTGTGGGGGGATGCTGGTGACTGTTCGTGTAGGTTTGTGTGTTGTACTGAAGTTATCAAAGAAGACTCATGGCCTAGTTAAGCCATCATAAACTGGGCTGCTGGGGAGATATGTCTTATGTTTTTGCATAAAAATGAGTTGGCGGAAACAGAAAGCCATGTTTCCCAGCCTATCCGCATAATCAAAAAAGCAGAGCTGCAAAATATACTACTTGTATTTTATCCTGAATAATAACAACTGACTAAAGCAGTTGGATATTAAAATCACTCAATACATTTGTATTATTAATGAATTTTAGATATTTTTTTTACTAAAAATGTTTGTTAGTTTTTGTCACTATCCTGGAGTATCTTTAATAACTATAATGGAGGTTTTCTTCAACTTTTTTGTATCTTAAACATGCTCATTGGTTGTGTGTGTGTGTGTAGAATTAGAGGAGGAATCTCCTGTTATCAACTGGTCCATGGAGCTGGGCACACGCCTGGACAGTCGCCTTTACGCTTTGTGGAACCGCACAGCAGGAGACTGTCTGTTGGACTCTGTTCTTCAGGCCACCTGGGGCATCTACGACAAGGACTCTGTCCTCCGCAAGACCCTCCACGACAGTCTGCACGACTGCTCTCACTGGTGAGACCTCCAATATCGTCCACAGTTCGAAACCGTTTAAAGCAGGTATCCAGGCATCTGGAAGATGTTGTTGGCTGCTGCCTCTTTAGTTTCCCTTGCTGTCTGTGACATACCGCCTGAAGTAAATTCTGTTTAACACTTTCCCTTTTTTTCTCTATATTGTTTTAGTTTTGCTACCATTAGTTTTTTTTCCCCCTCTTTTTTTGTTTTTAGTCATTTTTGTCAGTGGTTTCCGCCTCCCCTGTCTCTTCCTTGAAAGGTTTGTTTACATGCTGCTAACAGTATTAAAACTGAAATCCTGTTGACTGTGTACTGTGTGAAGATTTTGCTGAGTTGGTGTAGCGGCATTTCCTCCAGCTAATTACATACTTCCCTCACACAGTCTAATACAAAGGGTTTGATGACTTGGAAAAGGATTAAAGCAATGTGGTCCTTATTTAATGTAAACGGCAGCCATTGTGGACAGTGCTGTTTTGTGTTATTCAGTACTATGGGAGTCTATCCATGCACTGCTTCCTGCTTTTAAAAAATACTGTTGTGATACATTCTACAAGGATTATAAATTGAGCCACTATATTGGCAGAACCATGAAATGTGACTCTTTTTTTTTTTTTTTTTCCTTAAAGGTTTTACACACGTTGGAAGGAGTGGGAGTCTTGGTACTCGCAGAGTTTTGGTTTACATTTCTCCCTTAGAGAGGAGCAGTGGCAGGAGGACTGGGCGTTCATCCTGTCTTTGGCTAGCCAGGTAATTATGAGCTTCCTCCTTGTTTACTTTCGATCCTCCAGTTCATTATTGCTGAAAAGATAAAGTGCCTGAGTGCAGGCTCTGGAAGGGAGTGTGCAAGCTTCTCTCAATGTGTTATTTGAAGATAGAAGTTGGAAAAAAGCCCAAAATTGATCTTTGCTTGGTGTTTACGGTGCAAAAATTTCAAACTGGATCTCACCGTAAAAACAACACATAGTTGATTATTTCGTGGCTGGCTAGAAATTCAATACACTGTTACTTTGTTAGATTAGAAATTCCATAGCTAGTATGTTTAGCACACTATGGGACTATGCAATGACCCCTTAACACATGACCTGAACACCATACTGAGATTTCTGTAAAAATATGGTATTATGAGTGCATTTTGTAGATTAACAAGGAAGATGACCAGGGAACGGTTCACGTACAAACTTGCAATTGCACAAAAAATGTGACATGAATCCCGTTGACGCTCTGTCTTGTCATTTCTCTGCAGTTGACAAGCATTCCCGTCTTTAGATAGAGTTTTTAAAACCAAACAAAATCCATACAAATAAGCACTTACATTTTCTTTTTAAATGGACAGAAAGCAAATACGAGGGTGAATAATCTGAATGACAGGTAGGACATAAGCAATTACTGCAGATCCTCTTAAGACGGAGTTGTAGGCTGACGGACGGCTGATCCACTTGGCCGGCCCGCCTGCTGAGGCAGCACTCCTTCCCAACATGTGACCTCGGGATTACAGCCATTTAGCTCCCAGCCACTTCACTGACAGTTTGAACACAGGAAAAACAAGCATTTGATGACAGTGACTGACAGACCAGATCAAAACCGTGGCTTTTTGCGCGGCACCTCATGAGTCGGGATGACTTTGAGGCCCCTGTTTTTTAACGGGAGTGATTAAAGCTGTAGTACGTTTCAGAGTGGTTATATAATCTGCCTTCTGCTTATTCAGTAGGTACAACTGCAAGCTGAGAAGGACAGAGAGTGACATGTGGACATACTCAGAAGTGCAGAGTTGCAAGTTGAAGACATTTGCCCTATTTAAAAAAACAAAAAAAAAGCAAAACAAAAAAGAGGTTATCAGTATTTTATGTACACTTGAAGTGTACGCTTCAATTTGAAGTTGACCATATAGTTTCAATTCCATATGATATGTCTGAAGGCAAAGGTTTGGGCTCTGTGTTTCAATCAGGGCTTTGTCAGGCTGTTTTTTTCACAGGTGTTGTTATGACATCACAAACTCATCTTTTTAATCTAATTCACAATCAAAGCACATTGTATTGCTTATAAGAATTGTCATGGCTAAAATATGTAAAGTGTGATTTAAAAAAAAAAAAAAAATGTAATTCTTTTTAAATTGGATTGATTATTCTATTATATTTTTTTCTTATGGGAAAGGCTTATTTTTATAGACCCTAAAGTTTTTAAAGTCTGCCACCATATTCCATCTTTTCAAATAGCCAAAGTCTGGTCTTATAAAGTGTTCTTATTTTTTTTTTTCATTCCTTTTTTAAGCTCTTTTCTGTCTGTGAAAATGAATCTTATTTCTGATATGAAATGTTTTTCTCTCCAGCCGGGCGCCAGTCTGGAGCAGACCCACATTTTTGTTCTGGCACATATTCTTCGGAGACCAATCATAGTCTACGGAGTGAAATACTACAAAAGTTTCCGTGGGGAAACGTTAGGATACACTCGCTTTCAAGGTGAGGCAGCCTTTTTGTTTAGTCTTTTCCACCACAGCTGTGCCGACATCTGACTCTCTGACTTATTGTTTAGGGTAGAAGAGCTTCTGCCACGGTCATGTGATGTAGTTTTCATTTTTAAATCTAACGTTCACAAAACTCGATTAATTCAAGCTCAGCTGAGCTGTTCTCTCCTGACGAATTGCTAGCATGTGACTTTTCTTTTTTTATTCACTGCAGGACGAGGATGATGAGGGCTTTTGAGCTTTTTGAGCTCACTCTTTGTTTTCTTTCAAAATCTATAGACTTTTATCAGAGTTTGCACCAGGATTCCAACTCGAAACAGCTGCAGCAGCTCAAGAAAAAATAACTCCCCTTGAGTGGTTTTTGCTTGACTCATAAGTGTATGTTGTGGTTTCTGAAAACTAGAAGTGGCAGACATAGAATATATAATGGTTAGAATATCTTAACCTGAGTCACCGCGCTGCACTCCTGATTTAATTCATTCAAAGTTGTTATGAAAACCTGCCTGATAATGGTAATGTGTAGAGCTGGAGTCATCACTTTAGGCATCCTGGCAGTGTTTTTTTTTCTTCCCCGGGGGGGCGAGTGTCCTTCCCCAGAAGCCGCTCTGCACCACAGAGCTGCTCTGCTCAGGATGAAAGGCTCTTTTGTTTCCAGTCAGCTGAAAAGCTTCTGATCGCAGAACTGAAGCGGCGCTCGGTCCAAACGGCCATTCACCCCGCCAAACCCGTGCCTGTGCGTGTGTGTGTGTGTGCGCTCCCTCCTCACGCCGCTGCGTCTGTGCGCAGGCGTGTACCTGCCGCTGCTGTGGGAGCAGAGCTTCTGCTGGAAGAGCCCCATCGCCCTGGGCTACACGCGCGGACACTTCTCGGCGCTGGTGGCCATGGAGAACGACGGCTACGACAACCGCGGCGCCGGCGCCAACCTCAACACCGACGACGACGTCACCGTCACCTTCCTGCCGCTGGTGGACAGCGACAGGAAGCTGCTGCACATCCACTTCCTGTCGGCTCAGGAGGTAGGCGGGGAGGGTCGGCCGGAGCTCGAAATTTTTGCCTCACGGGTTCTTCATAAGTAAAAAAATCAAACGTCTTACACTGAATGTTATTTCTTAGGTGGCGCAGATACAACTTAATCTCATTGACAATCATAAAATGTTGTATTTCTGCCCGTCTGCCCCCCAGATGGGGAACGAGGAGCAGCAGGAGAAGCTGCTGAGGGAGTGGCTGGACTGCTGCGTGACCGATGGAGGCATGCTGGCCGCCATGCAGAAGAGCTCCCGCCGCCGCAACCACCCCCTGGTCACCCAGATGGTGGAGAAGTGGCTGGACCGATACCGCCAGCTCCGGCCCTGCGCCTCCCTGTCCGACGGCGAGGAGGAGGACGACGACGACGAGTGAGGGGGGGGGGGGGAGGAGAGGGGAAGAGTTGCAGCTTGAAGCTGGACATTGGAGGCTCTTTGAGAGTGTCTTTTATTTTTTTTTCCTCCTTTTTTTTCTCCCCCCAAAATGTAAATCCATCACTTGTAATAATGCATGTGTTCTGTGAGCTCAGTGGTAGAGAAAATACCAGCCCCATCCCAACAGAACCCCATCACCGTTCCCCCCACAGCACATCACACCCACTCGCCCTCGTGTACTGCGGTTTCTCCCCGTTTGTTATTGAGTCATTATCTCGACTAAACGTATAGGAACATATATTCTACTTAAGGAAATCCCAAAGCTGCACTGGAAGAGGAATTTCATTTACAGACTTGCCTGGAATTTAGCTGAAAACAGAGGATGCTAATCCACGTGTGTGCTGAAGGGGTCAGATGCACCCGTTTTTTCCCCCATTTGCTGATCATCCCGCAAACCCCACTGGATGTTGGATTTATTTATTTATTTAGGAGCGTTGGCACATGGGGCCGCTACCCTTTTGTTCTGCCCTGTTTTATCTGTGTTCCGTTTGTTCCACTCGGTCTTGAAGTATTTAATTTTGCACAGATAATACCTACATCCTGTGAGGGAAAAAGGGGGAGTGTGACATTCGAGTTTACTGACATTTTTACATGCAACTTGGTAGCTCTTGTTCATGTTGGAGTGGGTGATGGTGACGCCGGCGGGGAAAAGACAAAACCAAACACTCCGCCTCTTTCAGTGGAGAGCATTAATATTAAATTTGACTCACTTGCATCTACTCAATTGCTGTCTTGTGGTGTTTGACTTGAGAATGAATGAATTCCCTTCTTTTTTTTCTTTCCCTGCGATAGCGGAAATGACTGAACCCACTGAGTGATGGGGAATTGGAATATTTGCATTTATTCTGTGGCAGCCAATTGTGTGTGTGCGCACACACATACACAAAGTGTAGTCAAAATCCCTGTAGGGTGGATTCTTTGGACCACAGTGTATTGCTCTGTTTTGGAGACAATTTGAATCTGAAACTTCTCGTTTAAGTGACATGGTAGTTGGAGCCGGACGGGCTGGTTTCGGTATGTCAGAAAGTGCTGATCCACAGGGATTTTCACACTCGACCATCTTGAAGATTTACATAGAACGTTGAAGTACGCCGCAAAGAATTAAGGCAGTTCTGAAGCCAAATAGGGTCCATTACTGGCAGTGTGTGTGTTTCCAGTTGGATTCCATACTTCCTGTAGTGCCCCCCTGTGACCAAACAACTGGACTTTAGTTTTTTTCTTTCTTAACAAAACTTACAAATGTGAGGCTCTGGTTCTGATATTTACCTGAGTTCTAAAATGTACCAGCTAGCTATAAATGGATAATCGATGAACAGTTATGATGAAACTGAACCCGAGGCAGCTTCTCTCGAATATTTAACTTGAAGTTTATGCAAACCTTGAAAGAAAAGCTGCAAGTGCACATCAAAACTTTTTCTCGATGCAGTGCATGTAGAGAAAAGGTTCGACAGGGAGGGGGGATGACTTGAACTTTTAAGAATGTTGATTACCGCCGAAGCCGTTCCAATGAATGTGAACAACTCTGATGTCATCGTCTGAGGAAAGCTACTGGACATGGATTGTCTCCACGGACACAGACTAGAAGCCTTTTTTCCCCAAGGCGGGTCCATAAAAGCTGGCCTGGGCACTTCCCATCAATTCTGCGGTCAGGCCAAACAGCTGAATTGAATCATGCATAAAGATGGAAATGCTTTTCTTTTTAAGCCAAGATCAGATAAACATTTTTCACAGAGAACATGATCCAAAATGTTAGCCTGCAGAAAAACTTTCATTGAGATCCAATGAGCGAGGGAAACAAAAAACAAGCTTGAAATGAGATATTTCTGACAGAACGAGACGCCAAAACATGTAAATCAGTGGGCTCAGACAACTGGTTCTCAGAATCATCTTTTTATTTGAACTGCACTGAATGCTAAATGTTCACCTTGTACAAGAAACAAATACAAATACGCACACTAAAAACAAAACATACTGCTGGCTGCCTCTTCTGCTATTGTTGGGACACTAAGTAGGAGTTTCAGCTATTGCTCTCACAGAGTACAGGATGCCCCCCAAAAAAAAGAACCTGGCCTTCAATAGAACAACAAAATTATAGGAGGAGTGAAGAGAGAGGGCGGATCACGTAGGACTAAGGTTATAGGAACATTTAACTAGGCAATACAAATCTAACAGGACTCCTCAAAACTCTTGAACACCAAAAAACGAGGGATGCGCCTTGTATAGAAAAATACCACAATGGAGAGGTTGATGGAGGAGAGGAAAAAAAAACAGACTAAATGGATTAGTCTCACCTTTTTTTTTTTTGTTCGTTTTTGTTTTTCTCAAAGACAAAATTCATGGGTATAACAGTATCTGCAAAAAAGGGGTTTTCCTGAGTCGTTTAGAACTTTGTTTGCTTTAACCCTTTCCTGTTCCGTGCCCGCCTTTTAACAGCCCGGAAGAAATCGGCTTCCTCGTTCTCTCATCAGATTTTCCTCCTGCAAAACCTAGAACTAGGCGACAGTTTTAGAGAGGACAGAGCTGGGTGGTCACAGATGTAGAGGACATTCATCAGGCTGCCCAGAAGCGGCCTCTAGTGGTGGACGCCCGCTACTGCGGCTGTGAGAGCTGTCAAAGGGCATGGCAGCCAGGAAAGGGTTAAAACCCACTGTAGATTAAGGTCGAGCCATCTTTTCCTTTTATTTGATGAATGATAAATATATATAGGTCGATAATCCGTTTTAAATCATTCACACTGACGATATAAAGGAACAAAAATGAAAAAAAAAAAAATCTTCTGAGGCATTAAGGGGGCCTAAACAACACACAATTGTTACATATGAGGTTTAGAGGAGTGGGGAAGATTGGGGAGGGAAGGGCGGGGTAAAAAGGTCCAGTAGCACATGATGCCAAAGGTTTTTTTTTCTCTTGTTCTTCTCTTGGTGTGTTGAGAAGTGGGCCTACGTTTCCCCATGAGCTCTGAAGTGTACGGGGTGGGCTCGGACAGAGTCTCGTTGGGGTTATCCCGGAGTACTAAAAACACTGGACTCTGTTATCCACCATCTTAGGCATGTCCCAAAGAAGAAGGAAAAAAAAAAAAAAAAAAAAAGAAAAGAAAAAAAAATCAGAGTAAAGTCGATACTGAACCCAAGGAGACTGAGTAAAAACTAAAACGTTAAAAGTACAAATTCCCCGGAACACTTCTTGTGTTCCCGTTTGTGGGCTGGATGAACAGGCAGCCGCTCGGCGTTGTGTCACTGTCTCTTGGTCCCAGTTGGTCTGCGGTGGGTGGGTTGTGAGCGGGCGGGGGGGGTGTCCCTTTCTGCTGCTATTGCTCGGTGAGGTGCTCTCTGGTCTCGCCGTGTTTGGAGGGCTGGTTGGGCGACGGGGCCTGGGAGGGGTGTGTGCCGGAGGGCAGGGTGTGAGCGATGGGCACCCCGCCGGGCACCAGGCCCTCTAACGCCCCCGGGAGCCCGCCTGGAGCCACGCCCACCACACCGGGGGGGTATCTGGGGACGGGAGGGATGAGAGGTCAGCTGGGCGTGCACGAGTCCAGAATAAGGAGAGGAGCTACTCCAGGAGCCTTTTCAGTGCTCTGAGGACTTCTTATTCTTATTCTACTTATTAATCCAGGTAACATTCTTAATTAAATATTATTTCTAGATCCTGTAACAACTGCAGTTATTAAAGTCAGAATTCCATGTTTGATCTCAGATTAAGTAAATTCATTAAAATGGGCTATGAACTGAACTGAATTTTGAATCTTTATTCTAAACCCGCATAAACAGAAGATAGAGCAGAAAGTTGAACAAACAGGTAAAGTTAATTTTACTACAAATTTAAAATAAACTACATCCTGTAATGCTGTCTGATACACAGGATGCCTTTAAAAAATAACTTTTCCTAACAAAATTAGGGCTTCAGCAACAGGTTAGCAATCATTTGGGATTAGCGGTAAATATTCCAAATATGAAAAGCAGTTGTTTTTTTGGGGTATATTTAGCTCACGGGCAAATGAAGCAACTCCCTTAAGTTTAAGAATCTTTATCTCTTCGTGTCTTTGATTCAAAAGACTGATTTTCAATTCCTGACTCAGCTCCTGAGACTGTTAGCGCTTTGGTAAAATCAAACCAATGACAACAAAAACCAACCAGCTAGAGAGTGAAAAAGAACCGTTGGGAGAAAAACCCAAGTTGAAGAACATTCCCCAAAACCCATAGGAAGGAAAACCATGAAGCGTGACACCATCCGTTAAACTGCGTCCGAATGGCTTTGCCTCATGCTTAAAGGGACACCACATTCAATTCCACCCAGCTCTACTCTGAGCTCACTCAAACAGGTGGGTTCTGGGGGACTATAGAGGGGGGGTTGGGGGGGGACACACATCCGGTGAGCGAGAGGCCCTGATCCAGGCTTTTGTATTTACCTGCTCCTGATCTAGGCAATAATTTTGTCTTGGGGGGCGCCGGTTGTTACGGCCGGAAGAGTTTGGTTCACTTGGCTGCGTGAAGAAAGCACATGGAGGCGGACATGCTGAGATCAAGAAGGGTTCAGAATGGGACAACGTTTCTTTCAAGTACCACAGAAAACAGCGAGGGAGGGAGGGAGGGGGGGGAATGGGCCCGTTGGCTCCTAGCAGGTTATTTCTGTACAGCTGAAAAAAGGGTTCAGGGCACCAATTTAGCTTCAAACTGTAACGAGGAGAACAAATCAAGGCCTGAACACTTATCAATGAACTCTATGTTTTTATTTGATTTATTTTTAACTTCCCAAAGGCTTGCCTGGGTTTTCGGCTCTCACCTGTAGGCGGCGCCATTGAGCTCGGGGTGAACGCCTGGCTGGTCCATAACCGCCCATGGTGCCGTGGTGACGAAGAACTCCTTGTTGACGCAGTTCCGTAGGCTGTCGGGGATTCGGCCTGCCACAGGGGACACAAACACACACACACCGGTCAGAGAGCTGGGAGAGGCACGCCGCTCCTCAGACCGCGGCTTTCGAAGGGCCCAGACGGCGCCGAGGCGTTAATGAGCTCGGACTGACAAACACATGAGGCTCGGACACACAAATGCAAATGGGGATGGTTTAACGGTCGGGGTAGTTTGTGAGTGGCCGGCCCCTGGGAAGCGCTCTGTTCTGCGGCTAATGATGACATCTATTAAGAGGTCCAGATTTAATAAAAAAAGGCTGCCGGGGGCCTATTGAAGTGGAAATGTGACATCTGGGGGGGAAGAAAGCGGAGCAACAGGTCGCGGCGGACGGCGGAACGAGGAGGATTTATGATGAAATTCGAAATGCCCTGATGGCGACTGAGTACCGGTGATGGCTCTTCGGATCTCGGTGGCCGCCGCCTCCCGCATCTCCAGAGAGGCCTGCTCGCTGTACCAGGCCGTGTGCGGCGTGCAGATAAGGTTGGGGGCGTCTTTCAGAGGGCCCTGAGCAAAACTGCAACACAAAAATCAATAGAACGTGACATTGTGCGAGATTGTGTCTCGCAGAAAATAATGTGGGTGTAATTAAATGACTCCACCTATGACACCGGCTATCACTTTAAAACCTACATGCAGCTGAAAGGACGTCATATTAAGTCTATTTCTGTTTTCAAACTAAATCTGTATAGCTTCTTTGAGTTCCTGAGGTAGCTGAGTTGATAGATTATGCTCTTCTTTGCCCTTTCCACACTTAACCATCCGGCCGTTTCAGACTGGACAAAAGGCCAGACCTCCTTCTCCTCCTTTATTTCAACTCCATGACCACAGGGCATCTAACTGTCCGTGTGCGGCCTCCTGTGCCTGTGAAACTCTCCTGTAAGTCTTGCACCTACGTGAAGGGCTCGGTTTCGTGGACGTCCAGGGCAGCTCCGCGTATCCGGCCCTCCTTCAGCGCCTGGGCCAGGGCCTTCTCGTCCACCAGCCCCCCCCGCGCCGTGTTGACCAGGAACGCGCCCTGACGCATCTGCGGGACAGACACAAACCAGAGTCAGCACGGACACACGGACACGATCAAACCGACGCACTGCCGACCAAATATCTGCATTTGAGGGGTTTTTAAAGCATTTTACATGAGAGAGAGAGAGAAAAAAAAAGAAGTTGTGACATGGTCGCTGTCTTTGAAACCTGGGAGATCTAAGAGACCGAGAAAAGAAAAAAAAACTGTCACCTGTGGCACAGGGGGACAATCCTCTATCTGAAAGCAGGAGATAAAATGATGGATGAGGAGACGTGTGAGGCAGTGCCATCAGCTCCTTTCTGTGTGCGCTTACAAAAAAAGACCCATCAAAAAGTGTGTGAGGGAGGAGGGGAAAAAAAGGAGAGAATCAAATGAAAGTAATCCCTTAATCTTGAGAAAAGCCAAAATCCAAGGCCATGAAAAGCCTTCACGCTGGCAGGCGGTCTTTTATTAGGTCTCCGTGGTTTTGACACGGGAAAAAAAACAGGAACACACACACAAAAAAAAACAACATCCACATGTTTCTATTCTAGACGCTAAGACCCATGGCAACATGTTGGATGGGATCGAGACAAAAAAAAAAAAAAAAAAAATCCCTTTTACAGGAGGGCTCACAGAGGCAGCTGAGAACCAGAAACTTTGGAGACGCGTTAGACTCAGGTGGTCTAAACACGGAAGTCTGTTTTTTTTTTAGCCACCTGGTCCTGGAACTCGATCGGAACAGAGCAAAGGTCGAGGAGAGAAGTTTGGATCCTTCCCTCTGGCCGGGCTGTTCCACGGCCGCCCAGGAGGTGTCGCTCCAGGCGGGGGTGCAGCTATAGACTCAGAGAGAGCCGCTCTCTCCCCCCCCCCCCCCTTAGCTCCCCCCGCTGTGAGGCCTAGTCGATATATTTGCTGTAGCCGTGGGCTGGCACTAATTGCATTTGACAGAGCAAAGGAATGAATTTGTGTCCGGCTTTGGTGCGGCTTAAGATAAAGAGCTGAAAATGTGCAGGCATTTGGTCGTCTTTTCTTTTCTTCTCCCTTCTCTCCCTCTCTCTCTCTCTCTTTCTCTCTCTGCTTTCTACCAACTGTAACGCTCCGAATCTGACAGAAGCGGCGCGCCCTGGGCCCCTGCGGCGCACCTGTTTGATGGTGAAGTCGTTGATGAGGTGGTGGTTGTGCTCGTTGAGGTTGCAGTGCAGGGAGACGCAGTCGCTCTGGTAGAGCAGGTCCTGCAGCGTGTAGACGCGCTGCACGCCCAGCGAGCGCTCCAGCCCGTCCTGCAGGTACGGGTCGTAGAAGATCACGTTGAAGCCGAACACCTTGGCCCGCACCGCCACCGCCTGGCCCGAGCGCCCGGGGGGGGGGGGCGGCGGGGGGGGGGGGGGGGGGGGGGGGGGTAGCTTTTAGCGCCAGGTCGAGCATTCCTATTGCATTTCTGTAAGACTTCAAAGAGGAAGGGACTCTAAAGCTTTTGGAGTTTTGAAGTTTTGAAAAGGCCGGGATCTGACATCCGAAATACCAACTCTCTCAAAACAAAACTCAAAACCCACCTGTTTAAATATCTTACCCAGTTTACCACCCCTAACTCTAACAGTCCCCTCATTCTGCACAGTTTTATTCATTCCATTCTTATTTAATTCATTTATCATGTTTTTATTTATGACTTTGTATGTTTTCTTATGTTTCAATGTTGTTTCATGATGATCGTCTTTGTAAAGTGTCCTTGCGTGGCATTAAAGGTGCTTTTAAAAAATAAAATTTATCATTATCATTATCTCTTAACCAAACATTTCACAGGATTTATATATTTCTACATTGTACTCAGATAGAAACAAAGCTATTCCCCCACAGTTTCCATCAAATGAAGAACGCTTATTTAAAGATTACAATTTCATCTGACAAAAAAAGGGAGCTTTTTTATTCCGATTTGCTCAAAATCTAGCAAAGACCGGTGGAACGTCTCGCAAATGAAACGAGCACCAGTAAACTAAGCATAGGACTGACCTAATCCACCCCTAATATTCTCTTTTAAACTGGAATGGTGGATGTACTTTGATTACGCTGCGTGACGCTGAGGATTTAAATGTCTATTTTTGTACGTCTCGGGAAGATTAGAGAGTATATTAGAAGTAAAAAAGATGTCGGCAGGAGAGTGACATCAGACAACAGGCCGGATCAGAAACGGAGTCTGACACAGAGCGAGCTCCGTCCCCTCCGTCTCTGGCCAGCATTTGCTCTGCGGGATGAGTCTCGGCTGTGGCTGAGTCAGGGAGCTGCTCTCCAGATGCAGTTAGGAAAGAGAGTAATGGAGACGTGGATGTTGCTGCTTGTGAAAAGGATCAATAAGGTCCCTTTCTTACACTGTCAAGCTCCTCTCTATGTGATGGAGCGTTTCATCCAGCATTTCAGCTCCACAGCCGGGAGCAATCCCTCTTATTTTTTCCCTTTTCTTAAGCATTAAACTGTAAGACTGAAGTGGGAAATATAATAATCTTGGAGGAGGCTTTGGGGAAGAGGTATCAAAAATTAAATCAACGCGTCTCTGCTTATTTTTCCACCAAAACAACTGTGGGTACATTTTTCCAAAGTAGTGGGGCTGAAGAAAATTGCCATTTCTGCTATTGAGGGCTTTACCTGGTTAATACCTTACCATCAAATGTTCTGTTGGATGCCGTTTTTTTTTTTTGTAGAAGCGTGTTTGGAACGAATAAAACAAGCAGGTGTTGGTTTGGAATTTTTCTAGAGGATCAAAGCTCCTCTCTGCTCTGAATTTCAGAGCCTTCCCCCCTTTTCTTCCCACACTGATCAATAACACAAACAGAAAAACCAGGGCGGGGGGGGCTGCCACCCACACAGGAAATGTTTCAATTAGTGGCGCCTTGCTCTTGAACCTCTCTGGCAGACTTTAGCTTTGCTCATTCATCCACACAAACAAAAAGAGAGAGAGAAAGAGAGAGAGAGAGAGAGAGAGAGAGAGAGAGAGAGAGAGGTCGACAGATTTGTGAATTCGGGTCTTATCCAACCTTGTCAACACTGGGGGGAGATGAAGCCGTAACCGGTCAGAGGCAACGTGATGGACAGCAAACCGGGGGCAGCCACACTTCTGTGTGTGTGTGTGTGTGTGTGTGTGTGTGTGTGTGTATAAGACGACGCAGAGGCCTGAACAGAGCTGAGCGACCGGCCACCTTTGGATTATCCGTTCACAAATTCTACTGGCTGAGCGACGTACCAATTTGAGCTCCTGCTAATGTAAAAAAATATTGATCATAGATGGCTCTTCCAAGGTGAGCGTATTCCCATAATCCCAGTTTAATTTCACTGGAGCCTGACAGGAATCCTACCACTTTTGCATTTAAATAAAACACATCATCTACTGATTGATGGGTGATAAAAAAAACAGGTTCACGAGTCCACCGTCACCAACAGAGCACCAGCGGGCCTCCAGTCATCCACAGTGGACGTTAGATGGACAAGGAACGTGTAAGGAGACCAGCAGAGGAAGATTGAGGTGGGAGGATTGGGTTGTTGAAATATAAAAAGGAGCGGGGAGCGGGTTCTGTGTGCGCAGGGAGGGTATGTGGACACAGATAAGATGGCACTCTGGAAACGCTTGTGAGAGAATCGAGCATCTGCCCGCTCGCCGATGCTGAGGCAGAGAGGAGAATGAGGCGCAAAAGAAAAAAAAAAAAACCACGCAATCAGCCGCGGAACAGGTGGAGCAGAGGAGAGCCACACAGACACACACAATCCAGCCCGCCATAAGGCCCAACGGAGGCAGGGCGAGATGTCAGGGGAGAACAATAACAGAGATGAACAGTCAGGAGCAGAAGAAAAAAGGACAACGGGGATATAATGGCGAGGATTAGAGCAGTGGGATATGAGAACAGTGTGGCAGAGAAAGGAAGTCAGCCCAGAGGGAGGCCAAACAGACAACCTTGAGATAATGTGTGGAACGGGCAGAGGGAGAAAATAAATAACCTATGAGAGCAGGGAAACAGAAGGCACGCTGAGTGGCAAGAGGATTTAAAAAGCACTGGAGGGAAGGCAGCGAAAGATGGTGAATTGAAAAGAAAAACACAGCTAAACCAAAAAAAATAAATAAATCAAAGAAGGACAAAAATAAGCCAGCAACAGAAATCGTGAAGGAAAAACGGCGGAAAACTCACCGAAACCGATGAGACCTAAGGTTTCGCCGCGGATCCGGGCGGCGCCGGACGCCACCTCGCGGATCTGCTCCACGCTCTGGACCCGCGTGCCCTCCCGGAGAGCCTGGTAGAGCCAGGTGTTCCGCCGGTAAAGGTTGAGGACGTGGCAAAGGGTGGAGTCGGCCGTCTCCTCCACGGCTGCAGAGGGAATGTTGCACACAGCTATGCCTGAAGGGAGAGTAGGGAGGTCAGGACAACTGGAAATCCATCCCCCTGTGGCCAAATCAATACTGTCAGCCTTTTTATGGTGTCCTTCTGCCTAATTACAGTATGTGCAGGGATTGAACACCTTTGCTTATTTCAATTGACGAGGATATTACAGTTTAAAGGCAATCAGTATGAAGAACTCATCAAGAATCAAGTAGGAAGATTTTTTCTAAATCAATTTGCATCACCAAACAATCGAATCATTGTGAGTGTTTGACACCTAATAAATAAATAAAAAAGGTTGTGAAGCTACATATGTAACCAAAAATTCACTTGGATGGATGTTTTCAACATTTTTTCCAACTTGATTGAATCAAAAATAACTTCTGCGATGAAAAAAAATAATAATAGTACATTTAAGTTCAACTTCCCATCCAGATATCATCCCACAGAGCTGGAAATATGCCCTCAGGCAAGTCAAACCCCTGACCTTGTGATATTACCTTTCCCTTTCCTCCAGCAAAACAGATTTTTTAAGCCCTCCTGCTTGCCCTCACTCTCACCATGATGTCCTTATTCCACTCTGTATCTCAGCCTAACGGCACAGTCATCTCTGGATGGCAGAAAATAGCCAGAGTCTGCTCAATCAATCGCCCTTCTTCTTCTTCTTCTTCTCTTTCCTTCTCCCCGAGGACAGCCGTCATATCTGTGCCGCCTTCTTCAAGCGCGATAGCTTTTTGACTCCTGCGTTGCAAAGGCTCAGCGCTCTCTGTGAGTGGGTGGCGGTTAGACACAGTATCTGGTATTGGCAGGGAAATGGCAGCTTTGTCAGCTGGAAGAGCCGTTTGAGCCACCAGCCTGCTGATACCAGCCCGGGTGTGTGTGTGTGTGTGTGTGTGTGGGGGGGTTCACAGAGAGGAGCTCAACTCCTCTTTCCCTGACTCTTTGAACGTCCTGGTTCACAGTGGGATCCGCAGGGTTCAGCAGACTATTAAATCCAGCCTCGTAGTCTCTATCGTGGAAATGCAGAGAAACGCGCAGCCTGAAGGGGGCTTCTTTAAAGACAAACACCCCCATCGTGGCCTTAATTTTGCACATTTTGCCGATTTTCTTCTTTGAAAAATCTGAGTTCTTTTTCAAGTGCCACAATGCAGTGAACGTGACGAACTACTCTTTCGGGATTCCTCAAAAAAGTCCCATCGCAGGCACCTGAAATAGCCTTTGTCATTAACGGACAAACAACCGATCAAACAAGAAAGAGTGGAGACAGTACTATGTTCCAGGAAATCAACGGGACGAGGGAAACACTGGAAACATCCCACCTACTACAGTCACTCCTGCTCGGACAAAAACAGCCTCATACGAGATAAACGGATAAAACCATCCCCGTGGCCTGCAAATGCCACGGCGGTATGTGTGTGTGTGTGTGTGTGTGTGTGTGCGGTGTGTGTGTGTGCGTTGTGTGGCCGTTGCAGCTGTGGCTGCTGGACGTCTGTACCCAGCTCTCCGGCCGCCTTGATGTCGATGTTGTCGTATCCGCTGCCGATGCGGATGATGATGCGCAGGGCTTTGAACTTCTCCAGGTCCTCTCTGGTCAGGGTGATGGTGTGGTACATCATGGCTCCCACCGCCTCGTTAAGCACCTGCAGACGCACACAAAGTCACACAGAGCCGGCTGAGCGTGAGGCATGAAGATTATTTCTTTCCCAAAAAAATGCTCCAGCTCATCCGCCTCTTCCTCACTGTTTTGTGTCGTCAATGGTCAATGGAGCGAGTATTTTTTGGAGTAAGCAAGCCAAAAACTGGTTGTGTGGAGGATAAAAAAATAAATAAAAAGGTACGATTATACATAATGTGATGTTTGTGGTCGTGCGGCTCGATGACCTGCAGCTAAACACCGGGAGACCTTTTCTATACCCAAACCTCCCACCGACAGCTGACAATTGTTCAGAGCCGGTGTGGACATAGATGACCAGCGGAGGAGGCTGGAGGACCGGGCTAGATTGAAAGCCGTGTGCCGTTAGAGCACAATAAGTCTGGGTCATGAGGAAGAGTTATCCGTGCAGTTTTTATGTGTGCGGAGGGTGAATGTGGACGCAGAGATAAGGTGGCGCTCTGGAGGGGCTTGTGAAAGGAGAGGGAGCATCTGCCGGCTCTGTGATGTGGAGAAAGGGCAGAATGACGCACAAACAGCAATAAAACAGGTGCAGGAAGGGGGGGGGGGGGGGGGG